ACCTCGCTTGAGCAAGATCTCCTGCATCAAAGTTCCTCTAAAATTCTCTATTTCTCTTCTAAATGCATTCTATTACTACTTAACATTAAATAAAATATAAATTACTGAAAAATGAGAAGAGGGTGTTACAAACATCATAGGACAAGTCCTCTATCACTTGAACCGAGTCAAGGTCGATCACGTGAAAGGAATCTGACACATACTTCTTGAGCTGAGACACATAAAACACCAGATGTAGGTTTGAAAGATTTGGAGGTAGCGCTATTCAATACCGTACAGGACCAATTCTACTCTACACTTCAAACGGCCCAATGAACTTAGGAGATAACTTTCTGGACTTCAGAGCTCTCCTTACTCTGACCACAGGTGAGACCTTCAAAAACACATGGTCACCCACCTAAAATTCCAAAGGTTTCTTCCTCTTATCCTAGTAGTTCTTTTGTCAATCTTGTGCAGCTTTCATCTTTCCTCTGATCATCTTGATCTGTTCATTCAACTTCTGAATCATGTCCGGTGTACATAGAGTAGCCTCTCTAGTCTCAAACCAACATAAAGGAGTTCTGCACTTTCACCGATACAAAGCCTCAAACGATGTCATCCTAATGCTGGCGTGATAGCTATTGTTGTAGGTGAACTCCACCAATGGCCAACATTCTTCTCAAGTTTTCTACTACTCAATCACACAAACTCTCAAGAGATCATCCAATGACTAGATGGTTTTATCCGTCTGATCGTCGTTCTGTGGATGATACGTCAAACTAAGTCTAAACTTAGTACCTAACGCCCTCTGCAAGTTCTCCCAAAACCTCAAAGTGAACCTCGGTACTAGGCTCCCTTCTCGTTGTAGCAAAAATCTTAGACGATTCTGCAGCTCATTTTCTGTAGAATCTCGCTATAGTGAGATCTTCTCGTTACACCGAATCTGTTTTTTCGCCCAGGGCCTTCTCGCTACAGCGAGAATCCATTATCTACAGCGAAAACACCCCTGCAGCACACACTTAGCCTATTTTTCAATCAGTCCAAACATATTCAATCCATAGTTAGCATTCACATCACACACACACACTCACACACACACACACACACACACACATATATATATATATATATATATATATATATATATATACACACATATATATCTATATACACATACACACATATATATTTCACATCATTATATACATCGTTTGCACATTCAAATAGAACTCTACAATTTATATTAAAATCAAATATATTATAAAACTTGGGGCGTTACAAAAACATTTATGGCTTGCTTAATATTCTAAACTAATATTAAGTTTTTAAATCATTTTCTTATATTACAATTTCAATTTTATAATGATAAGTAATAAAGAAATTCAATCTAAAAAATTTACATTTTTTAGTATTTAATATCAATTATCTAATTAAACAACAAATCATAAGTATTTTATAATTTTTTAAATTAGTAATTATAATTTTTATTATATTTCATTATATTTTTTTGTCAAACTAAAACAATGGTACAACAAACATCTTTCATTTCTAAAATTCACCTAACCATAACTTATTTTGTAAAAACTTTTTTGTTTATATTTTTAAAGTTTTAATCCCTAATTTTTTAATTTAATATTTTTAATCTCTAATAATAATACTTGTTACATTTTAAGTTTTTATGACATGGATCAATTTTTATTGTGTCACGTTATTTTTAAATTATTCAATATATTTTATTATGTATAAAGCTAGTTTTTACATAATAATTACCAAAGTTGTGTTAGTAAAAAAAAAGTGTAGAAAATAGTCGCCTAAAATTTAATAAGCTTTCAAAGCCGTTTTTAAAAAAAAAGTTTAAAATTTAAAATTTATTAACAAATAAAAGAGTTTCATATCTAGTAATTTCTTGTACACACATAGTTTATGGTTGCCTCATGAAGCTTGTTTTCAAAGGCATCGTACCTTAAAGTGAGGCTTGACATATCATTTGATGAAAATTAGGAGATTTTGACTTCGCTCCCAACTTAGAAAACCAAAGAAATTTTGACAATGAAACAAAAACATGAGAATTGAAAAAGAAAATAAAACAATAGGGTGGCTCCCCATGACGACTTTCACTCACAAAATACAGGGACAACCTTAAAATTTACAAAGTAGAGGATTAAATATTAGTAAGTAAAAAACAAATACAAATGTTGAATAATTATAGTAATAAATGATACTGAACTTTGATAGCTATAATAATGTTGACCAATATGATCTCTTTGATTTAAAAGGCCAACTTTCACTAAAGCTTGAAAATTAGGATCAATGACTACCCTTTGCAAAGAGAAAAAGTATTAGAGCGTTGCTCTAGTACCTTTACAATTTAGAGGGTCTTAATATCCTTTCTATGTAGCATAGCAGGATAAGTTGTTGGGGTATAAATATCAAGTGACTATTTATATTTTATAATTAATAAATTTTTACATTTTAGCCTAATTTTATTAAATTTTGTTGGCAACTAAAATAAATTGTCTTGTTTAAAATTTAGATGCTATAAAAGTAAATATAAATACTCAAAGAATAAATTTAAATCTCACAAAATATATGTATTTAAAAGAACAATAATACAATCAAAGTTTGACTTTTTTTTTTAAGCCAATTTTATAAAACACTCAACACTTGAATATAGAACTTGTTGAAGTTTTTGTTTTCTTTCTCTGTTTTTCTTTTACTCACTTATTTGATACAATGAACGGTAACTTACATTTATATTACTAAATGGTCTACTACTAACTTGGACAACTAATATTTGCTTTATTTATGATCTGCCAACTAATTTTCAACTAATGTATTGTTATGAATTTTTATCTATCCATTATCGTGTACAACAAGGAATTCAACAATGACCATTTAAAACTAATGATGATGTTATCTAAAGAACCATCATGACCCAAGTTTCTAATCAACCAATTGGCAATTTATCAAGTTGTAATTTACCAGTTGCCAAGTTTATCTTCCAACAAATTTTGCAACATAATTCTTTTTGTCTCTTGACTTTCACTCTTTTGAGAAGATGGAAGAGAATAACATTCAAGAAGATGCCTAGTCCTTTTAGTCTCTCGGCTCTCACTCTCCAATAGCATACTAGTTCTTTATGGGCTTGAGGCAACAGAAGTATTCTGCTTCGCTTTCTCAATTGCTCTAGGAACAAGATGAAGTAATGCTTTTGTGGAACGTCTTCTGGCGAGGCTTGGGGTTTAAACCAATATTTTTATTTGAAGCAGTGTGCAGTATGCTCTCAATTCAACAAGCATACGCCGGCCAAAATAGTACTGATATTTTCATCTCTATTAAATTTAGCTGACTCCCTCGGGACATCCTCACATCATTCTTCCATTTCACCGGAAGAGGATCCTTAAAGTTATTCCAGAAGTGATTTGCTCGTCCAGTGGTACTACTTGTTACTTTGATCTGAAGGCTTTGAATTAGCTAAATCACGTGGGTGGCAGTTGTCCATGATGTAGGTTGTCCATGAATTAGCAGGCTTTGTTTAGGATCTATGTGATGATCAGACTTGCCCTCTGGTATTAGTTTTTGGAGTCGTTAAACAAACTTTCAGTTTAATTAAGAACTTGATTGTAAATTTTAAGTAATAAAATAAAAATAACATTGGTCAGTAAGAGATGGTTTTTAAACCCTTCAAAACATCACTAAAAAAGGAAAAATAAATGACGGAGAAGGATGTTACTTATTTTTACACCATGAACTTTCTTCAATAAAATTGCCATAGGCAACAGCCTTGGTCTTATCTTCAGAGACAAATGAGCAATGCACAACATAGTACAGTTACCAACTTGAGTTTTCACTCTTTCCATTTTGAAAACAAACCCAGAACTCAACCAATAAAGACACAACATGTTTTACCCATCTTTCCAAAAAAACCATATAACTAATCCAAAATTAATTGCAGAAGGCAACGTCAGAAACTCAGAAAATTAACACACACACACAGAAAATCCCTTCTCATATTCCGTGCATTGAATTGGATTCAAAGCAGAGTACAACTTTCTACATGCAGTTCTTAGTCAAATTAACAAGCCCAGCAAATACCCATTACTGTAATAAGTAATGCTAACCAAATACACTCGAGGAAATACATAATTAAGCACCAAGTTGAATTATGTAGAAGTTTATGACTGGGTAGTGGATGTGCTCGAAGGGTTAATGTTATGTAGTGAGACTATTGAATCAAGTTTTGTCCTGCTTATTGTTACAATGGATTGGTTAACAAAGTAACAAATTTAGGATTATGATTGGATTACAAAACTTAGGCTTGAATTTGATAGGGGAGTATAATTATGCACAATTGCCTAATCAGTTGATCATATCATATATTGCTGAAGGTCACAAAGTGACTAGGTTCTAGGCTGCATGAAGTAACCTAAGAAACACTGTCTCGATTGAGATTGAGTGATAAAAATTTACTTTACATATCAAGAGTTTAGTGAAAAGGAGAGGGAAAATGAGAGCGACAAACTCGCACTATAACATACTAAACATACATAGATCAAGTGACCTTTACTACCCATACTTTATTATGAATGATTTAGTCGTGGATGGTTTTCTTTAGAATTACACAATTATGTACCAACATCTTAATGGAGAGACTGGGATAAAGGGAAGTATATAGACGTAATAAGATATATACATCCAAGATTAAGTAAGGGAATGGATGATAGTCAATATCTGAAATCCAAAAAGCATGAAAGTAACAAAATAGGGATAGACGGGAATTTGATCTCTTTAGTAAATGAACTAACATAATGCCTCATTTCCAAGATAAACTTCTAGAGCCAAGTTAAGGAATTATAATTATAGCCTGGATCCTATAGAAACTCAAATGAGAAACTAAGGCTTTACTCAAATTTTAATAAACAAAGGGTTCCTATAAAGGCCAACTGGGAATTGCCTCCTATGTGATCTAAAAGCAATCTTTTCAGCCTGCTTATTTTCTTTGTATGCAAACATATAATAATAGCAAAATATTATCACATTACATTATCAAATGAATTTTCAAGTTAGTATACTTGTTTCAAAGAATGATGTTCTAACAAACACGCTAAGTCACATCTAACTTTGCACTAGTTGATCATCAGTTAAGATGTCCCCAGAATTTCTACAAAGACACAACAAATTAGAGGGTTTAATTTAGAATTGGAAAGGAAAAGCAAATAGTAATGCAGGTTGATGCCAATATTAGGTGCTTCTCTGGAGGAAAGCCTGAGAGTTGCAGAGGAGTACGCGATAGCAGCAGCTGCAAAAGATTGCAGTTGGATGATATGTTTTAGTCTTAGTTTCATCTAAATGACTATTACATCGAGTAGGTGATTGTTTGAGATTGCAAAGAGCAGAGGCGCATGCGGCAATATCAGTTGTAGGGGTTGTAGTAATTCTAGTTGCCGTTATTGCTAAATTTTCCAAAAGAGTCAAACCAAGATAGAGATACAGCATTAGCCTCTCCAGCTGCATTGGTAGGTGCTCATTGTTGTAATGAAGGACAAAGCAAAAATGATGACAACGTGGCAGTGAATCTGTATATTGTAGATTTCTACATGTGAAGAAGTATTCTATAAATAATAGTTAAGTAACCAAAAATATATAACAGGTAATGCAACTTCCAGGAAAGTTCATATTATATAAATAAAATATCATGTTTGATTTGATGCTATATATATGTCTCTTGGAAAGTTAACTGTCACAGTTTCATCAGGCAGGTTCTTCAGCTGGTACAAAAAACAGTTATTTCTTTCTGTCAAATATGACTTGGAGCGCAAACCCTGCATGTTGCAGGGAAGTTTTGAGACTCCAAACTGAAGAAAAATCCCTCTATGATGTCCTTGGCCATAGCTACCCTTTATCACTTCATCAAAACCCTTCTTATTTCCGCGATGAAAGCATAGGAATCACAGACCCTGATGAAAATTTTGGTTGCACTCCCAGTTTTGAGAGCAATAGAGCTGCACTACTGATAACTGTTATGAGTCTGACTTGATCAACTCTCTGGGTGAATCTGACTCCTCTCTCCTACAAGTTCAAACCCCTTTAGTTGATTCCCCAGAAAACACTTACCATGTAGTTCCTGATCCATTTACTGAGTTCTAAATCTGCCTTTTTCAGAATGAAACCTGGAATATCATGCAGTCTCAGATAAAGCCACTTGTGGTGGGTTCTTCATCTTCAGCACCCAGAGAAAAAAGAAGCTAATAAGTGGATGACACTTTTGATGAACAAGAGGGTAGAGGCAGCAACGTTTAGCTGCTTTTTCTGAAGATTCAGAACAATTAGAGACCTTATATGAGGTGCTGCTATGTCAAACTGGAAGAAGTCAAACTCCCCTTTGTGCTCCCGACCCATCACAAGCTGTTGATTCAGGAGGGAGGATGCAATGGAAAATCAATACGTTCACGTTTAAAGAAAGACTCCACCAACACAGGTGGAACAGCTGTAGATTTATGGACACTTCTAACTCAATGTGCACAGGCTGTGGCAGGCTATAACCAAAGGAATGCAAATGACTTACTCAAGCAGATTAGGCAACACTCTTCACGTTTTGGAGATGGACTTCATCGTTTAGCTCATTACTTTGCCATTGGCCTTGAGACAAGATTGGCTGCTGGGACACAATTATATATGCCTTTTGAAGTGGCAACTGCTGCTGATATGCTGAAAGCTTACAAACTATTTGTTACACCCTCTCCTTTGCAGAGGATGTCAAATTTATTTACAACCAAGACAATCATTAGTCTTGTGAGGAATGAGAGCAGTGTTCATCTTGTTGACTTTGGCATTTGCTATGGTTTCCAGTTGCCCTGCCTTATCAGGAAACTGTTAGAAAGACAAGGTGGTCCTCCAAGGCTTCAAATAATCGGAATTGATCTTCCGCAGTCAGGATTTCGGCCTGCGGAAAGGGTTGAGCCGTTGAGGAAACCAGGTGGCATTTGGAGAACTACTGCAAGAAGTTCAAGGTCCCATCTAAATACAACTGCATTGCACAAATATAGGAAACTATAAGACTTGAGGATATATCAAGATTGACAGGAATGAAAAAACTGTTGCTAACTGTTTGTACCGGCTGAAGAACCTGCCGGATTTTCCTGTGACAGTGAACTGACCAAGATATGCTGTGTTGAAGTTTATCAGGAAGATTAATCCAAACATCTTCATCCGTGGTATATTCAATGGCATTCTACCACTTCTCATCACTGTTTGATATGTTTGATGCTAATGTGCAACGAGAAGAACCACAAAGGGAGATGCTTGAGAAAGGGTTGTTTGGACGGAATGCCATCAATGTTCTAGCGTGTGAAGCAGAGAGGGTGGAAAGGCCCTATAAGCAGTGGAGGGTTAGGAACCTGAGAGCTAGGGTCAAGCAAGTCAGGTTGGATCCTGAATTGATGAAGAGGGAATATCATAAAAATTTTGTAGTGGCTGAGGATGGCAAGTGGGATTTTCAGGGGTGGAAAGGGCTTATTCTCAATGTTTTTTATGCTTGGGTTCCTGCTTAAGCATTGTCCAGAAGGTGTTTGTAACTAGTAACCTACTCTTAGGTCTGCGGAAAAGAAGTGCAATAAACTGCTTTTCTATTTCTCTTTCACCATTTGTGTTTGCATTTCAGATACTGATGTTCAACTCACTTCCTAGCCTGTATGACACGACACGTTCCCTTTTTTAGATGGTGCACAAATTTCCTACCGATCCTCAGAAAAGACAGAAGTACAATAAGAAAAAGGGCATCACAACGGAAACCAAATCTACTATAAATCATAGGACTAAATCAAAAAAGGAAAAAGCTAATTACGTATGAGATAAAAATATCTTCTATCTTCATTAATATGCCACGTTTTAACTGTCTTCTGTAAGAAGTCAGCCCTTACAATCGGAACCTCAATTCCGCACTATAAATTGTATTGACCTTTTTTCAGTATATTTGTTGTAAAGAATCACAACTTTCCCATTTAACTAGCCAGTAATGACTTGAATCATTTCAAAAGGCCTTCAATGAAACTTGCCACGTTTCGAAATATGATGTTTGCAGAAATAAAGTATATTTCACCTGTTACCACGTTACATATTAAATACCCAAATATTTTTAATAGCTAAAAGGAAAATTTCAAGAAAACCAACAGCTTCATAAAATACAATACATAATGATACCAAAAACACACACAAGGCTTTTGATTTGGCCCTATCATCTAGAAGTATTAATCTAAATCAGGCTTAATCCTGAATCTTAACAACAAATTGTGAAGTTTCAAACCAATGAAAAATAGCCTAATAGAACCACAAATGCAGATATAAATGCCCAAGGCCTGAAACAACCAAACCTAGCATAATTTGTATGGTATCAAATAATCAATAGTCATCTATTTTGTTTAACACTAGATGGTCTAATAAGAACGTTCCAGTGTAGCTTATCTCCACTTGGTTTTTTAAAAGAACCCAAACTATTGCTAGGCAATGATTGTTTGTCATCATGATCACTCTTGGGTGATTTGTTAGGATATTGTGTTTCACCAATTACTTCTGACTGTTTCCTTTTAACATTGCCGTTAACCTCAAATTTCTTTTCGTCCGTGTTGGCACACTCCAGATTTTCTACTGAAGAACTATTTTCACTGAAAGAATGCAAATAGAATCAAATTAAAATTCGGCAAGTGATAATATATGGAAAATTTTTCAATAGTTGCCCCCAAGAAAAGGCCAAGCCATGAGTTATATTACATACTAAAACCATAAACAGAGAACCTTCTGAATTCTGACCCTTGATGGGGGAAAAGAAACAGAATCAAATATCCACATTAGGTAAAGAAAGCCACCTGAAAGAGACATTTGCATTTTGATTTCTAGACATGGTACTTTCAGATGCTGGCTGGCGTAGTCTTGCTTCTTCCTCATTCAATTTCTAAAAACACAAGGCTTTGATATTAGAAAATAATCAAAAGATTTAGATCGATTAGGGGAATAACAAAAAGGAATTGAAATTCTTGATCTTGAAACTCACTGTTACTCACATCAACAAAAGGATTAAAACTTTGAAATGACATTCGACCTTTAAGTGCACCAGGATGGGGATCACCTTCTGTTATGACCACACTACATCAATGTAGAAAGCCAGTCAAGTTATGCAAAGTTTCTTCAATAAAATTAAATCATAAAGCATTAAAAAATGTAAACTTTTTAGGGCCCCTCAAAATTTGTGTCATTCCACCACTGGATACAATGATACAGTATTTTTAAAAATTCAAGATACAATAAGGCTTACATATGTCAACATGAATTAAAAAGTATACATATCCTACATAAATGCATAATATTTATAAACATGATAGTCAAAATCACGATTAAACATGTAAGATCGTACGAGATCTTACAATCTGCAGCCACTGAAGCAATCTCGATCCTAGGCTGTGGCTTGTTCTCGTGGGATCACATGATGATTTTAAAGCTGATTTTGAAGTTAAATGTAGATTACATGATTGTATAGAAAAGAGAGTGGAAAATGAGATGAAATGACTAAAATTGATGGTCAACTTGAAGATTTTAAGGCAAAGAAGTTTTTTTGGCAGCAAGGCAGCCTTAAATGCATTTAAAACTTAGGGGTACGCATGGATTGGATTTTCATAAAACCAATCCAAATTCACTTTAAATCCAATTATATAGATTGGATTTTAAACTAATCTATTTTATTTTTTTTAAAACCAGTTTTAAAATTTAGATTTGATTTAAAATCGGTTATAAATTCAATTTTAGTCAAATTAGCTTTGAATGCTTACTTGGTGCTATATAACTATTAAGTAATTAATTTTTATAATTTAATATTATTTTTATTATAAATTTATTTTTTTTAAAAATGTTTTAATGAATTAGAAATATTATTAATGTACTTTTCTTGAAAAATTATTTGAAAAAATTAATCAGTATTCTTAATATTTTGAAATGTATGGTAATTTAAATATAGTTTTATTTATTTATTTAATTTTATGACTTTAGGGAAAGATTTTTGGTTTTTGTGTATTGAAATGATTTTTTAAGAAATAAAAGAGAGGAGTAAGAGGTATGATTTTAATTGGAGCTTTTATGTTTCTAAATGCTTTTTCAATCGTTGTCTAGTGGAAGCCGAGAAAGCACGGCAAAACCAGATGCTTTCGCAAAGTCTTTTTGTAACGTAATCGTGGATTTTATTTGAATAAATCGTATATATGTACTCGTAAAAAACAATCATTTATATGTACTAACTGTTTTCCAAAACAAATCAGTTTTGATAGATAAAATATGGATTTATTAAAGGAGATTCAGTCTAAATCTGGATAAGAAAACAAAGTCCAAATATCCGATTTTATTAAAAATCTAGATTTTAAAACCAATTTAATTTTTGTTATAGATCAGACCTCTAAGTCTAGATTTTTTGCTCAACCCTATTAAAACTAATATCAAAACTCTAGCACAATGACAGGAATCTTATGAAGATGAACATCCAAAACTTCAAAGATTTGTTATTCGTATATTGAGCTTGACATGTAGCTCTTCTGCATGTGAGCGTAATTTGAGTGCTTTTGAGTTGATCAAATTTTAAAACTATGAGAAATTATTTTTCATTCTTTATCCATTACTTGCACTTGCAATTAACTAATTGCATTTATATATCTTTTAGGTCCACACAAAGACAGAACCATTTGAAACAACAAACTATGAATGATGTTGTTTATGTGATGGTTAGCTAAAATTGGCCAAAAGAAAGACATATAGGAAAGATATGGAGTTTAATCTTGATGATCTATCATATGATGATGAATGGATTACCATAATGGTTTAGAAGTGGATGACTTATTGGATTTAGGAGTTGAATCCAAATGAACACTTGTGACAAGTTGAAGATGAATCCAATGATGCTAATGGTGATCCTATCAATTTAGATGATTTGGAGATTCCTACTTTTGATGATGACTTTAATAAAGCTGGACTAGATGAAGGAGATGTTGGAAACTTAGACTAGTTTTTTTGCATTAGATCTACTAGTTTGATCTATGCTATGATTTTATCATTCATTGACGTTGATAAGATTCTTCCATCTAACACCACCTTAGGATAGCACAGCCTTAAAGTGAAGGACAAGGTTCAAATAAGGAAAGGTTTATAGTAGATAACTAAGCACCCAGAGACGAGGAAGGGGGTAGTAGGCAACAAAATGCTTCAAGGAGTTGAAAATAAGCGTAGATCCAGGAGTTCGCAATATAGGTCAACCTTTCGAGTTTTGTGTGTAATTGACTTGAGAATTTATTTATTGTCTTTAATGTGTTGTGATTGTCTTGTTTAAATTTAAGACTATTTTTTTCCTATTTATCTTATTTTGGTGCATATATATATATGTTTAAATATAGTTTATATGTTAAGTAGAATCTTACGATCTATATTACAATCCTACGATTTAAGTATTTTCCTTTCTCTTTTGATCCTAGGTAGGATCTCAATTTTGACTACCTTGTTTATAAAAAGACTCAATCATTTCTTATTTATTAATACATAACTATATTGGTGGACAGTGATCAGTCACAAAATGATAAAAATAAAAAACACGTGTGATCATAACAAATGACCATAGTTATGTACCTTTTCCCATTTCCATACCAAAATACATTTTTTTTCCCATTGAACATGTCCCTAAATTACATATTTTCCCCCAACCCATATCAGAACGTCACCAAAAAAAATTCATTAGTTCTATTCAAAAGAAGTCGTTGCTCTTTACAGCTGCCTAATTTACTATAACTTCAAGAATATAGAGAAAGAGAATAGAGTGCTGTATATAAATTTAGTCTAGTTCAAAGCATTGGAGTAATATCCCAAATGTAACAATCCATAAAATTTAAAAAGAAAGTGATAAAATTGCAGGATACACCGTGGATACATACTTCACCACTTTTGAAGTATCTCAGGCTTCACATTTTAAAAATAAGAATTGTTTTATAAGGGCTTGACTATTTTTTCAGTTAGCAGCAAGCAAGATAAACTCAATCAAAAACACCAAGTGCAAGCCTATGAGTAATACTGGATAGTGCATTACAGATGATAGCTAAGAGGAAACATTAATGGTTTGACTAGACAGCCAAAGTTAATAGAAAACCACATGATATATGAATATTGAGAGAGATATTCACTTCATAATACCGTGAATTTCAGCAGTAACATGCATTGATCTCAACAAAACAAGGGCAAGTAGACATCCAAAATAGCAGTCTAAATCACAGGCAAAACCTGAATCGAGGACCCCTGTGTAGTAACTAGTTAAAACGAAAAGCACTGCACATTATTTGAATTTAACAAAGAAATACCATCTTTTAATAACTGTCGTGGATGTGCCAACGCTGACATTAGGTGTGACCTCTTCTTCTTTCTTGGTCTTCTCCTCTCTCAGAGCTGCCCTTTGCATAAACTATCCAATATCGAAAGAGAACAAGGAACAACATGATTAATCCCTGAATTTCACCACCAATATTGAGAAATTCCTCAGAAACAAGCTCAGAGTCAAATCTCACAAACAAGCAATCGAAATTCAACGATAACGACAAAGAAGAATGTAGCGTTCCCTTACCTTCAAGTTCTTCAACGTGCTAGAAAGCTCTCGCCGTGCCATTGTACCTTCCAACTTCCTCTATCGAAATTATTTACCTCTTCTTCTCTCTCTAAACACAACGATGAACCACCTGCAACCTCAACCTAGCTCCTCCGATTTTTTATTTAAGAAGCACGGATTCTGGCCTCAAATCTTTAGTGCCAAAATGCCCTCTTCGAATCGGATTCACTCGACATAATCAGGGCATGCAGAAAGGATATTCAAATACTGGAAATTAGAGGAATATTGGAAGATATTTGGGAACTATCTAGAGTGATTCCATCAAATGGTTTCCCAAGTATAGAATGAAAAGGAAATCACTGTGCTCACCTTGTAGCAGCGTTACTCTCTCAGACTCAAAGACGTCTCTTCCAGACCTGGGTGTCCTCCCATCCACCACTGCTTCTGCTCCAACCTTGTAAGAGTATCTCTATGCCATCTCAGAGCCTTGATACTTGGCTGGGTTCGTGATCTCGTTGATTTTGGAGTGGATCTAGGGTTTCTGTTATTGTATTTAAGCTTAGAAGTTTAAGCGGAGTTATTTTGGCGCGATAGAATGCTTGTGCGTTATGGACTGAGAGGACAAGCGACGGAAGAAAAGTGAATGCCGGTTATGGTCTGTGGCAGAGTGAGCATGTGTATGATATTTTCGAGTGAGGCCGTTGAGGAGGAATACCTATTCACGGAAATAAATATGTACCAAGCAACCAGAGCCACCAAGGGCTTGATGGACAGGCGAAAAAAAAATCCGTTAAATGAACAGGTTTGTAATCTAAGAAATAAGGCCTAAAATTACTTCGGCTGTTTTAGTCTGTCTCTTGTAGGACTTAATGGTGTTTGCGATAAAACATACTTTAGTTTCATATCCCTAAACTTAAAATTTTCAACTGGGGTTACTTTCAGAGACCATTATTTATGATTTCAAGCTTTTTCAAGGACTTCATGTTTTTAAATTTTAATATTTATTTATTTTTTGTGAATTTTTTTATATTATAAATTTATTTTATATTTTTGCGAATTTATTAAGTATATGAACTTTTTATCTTAAAAATTTTATTTAATTATTAACTTATTTATATTTTTATGGACTTATTATGTATATAAAAACAAAAAATTAATTATTATAAAAATTAAAAAAAAAAAATTAGTGACATGTTATAACTTTAAAAAAATTATCTAATACAAAAATTAGACCAAAAAAATTAGTGACTAATTAGCTGTTATAAAAGTAGTTTAAAATATCCTCTCACAAAATCTGAAAATAACAAAAAAAAAATAGTGGTTTGTTGTTAAAAAATTAAAAAAAATAGTCTGTCACAAAAAAAAAAATCCAACTGTCGGGTCAACCCATATAAGACCATAGCACATATAACACAAGGCTTGGGCAATAAAAATGCAAACTCATTTTTACTTTTGGTTAAATAAGTCTAACTCGTTTGAGCCCGCTATAATGAGAACTAAGTCAAGTCGCCTGTTTTGACAGCTTTACAAGTAACCCATAAAAATATATAATTAAAATAAAATTAAAAATTTAAGTAAAATAAATAATTAAATTATATTTATAAATTAAATTTATTCTAAATTATAATAAAAAATAATATAACTTACATTTATAAATCAAATTTATTCTACATTATAATAAAAAATAATAAGCTTAATTATATTTTTGGTCCTTATAAATATTAGATATTTTGTGATAAGTCTTTATAAAATTTTTTGTTAAGATTTAGTCTCTGAAATATTAAGAAGTTAGAATTTAATTTTTGCTTTTAACTTTCTTTTGTTAAATGTTGAACTGGCCTATGAAAAGCTAGCTCAGCACTGCCACGTATTACCACATGACTTGTCACATCATTTATTTTATATAATATATGAGTTACTAATCAACAAACATCAATATTTAACAACACCCACTACAAATATATATTACTTTATTAAAGAGAGAGACTTGTATAAAAAAAAATTATTGTTGTGCAAGCTTTTCTTCTTGTCCTCTACATCAGTAGTTGTGTTTGCTACATGATTACTCCATGTGATAAAGGTCCTCAAGCTTTTTTTCTAAATGTTTCAAGTAATATCTTTTTCAAAAAGCATTACAACTCTTAACACATAATTGGGTCATCCACTCCTACACGTGGGTCACTATCATAAATGTTAGGAATCGAATAATATCAAGAGTAAAACTAGAATTAGAAAAAATATAGTCTATTAATAATTTGAGTAGAAGAGTTAAAAGGAGATATGATTGAGAAATGAAGAATCACGTGGCAAGGGCAGCGTTCCTACTAGAGGAAGGAGGCGACCAACAAGCAAACTACAAGTGCTCAATAAACCTACGCTGCAAGAATGAGATGTCAGAAAAACCAAAAGAGCTATTGCAATAGAACGAACACTTAAACTATTGAACAAAAATAGAGATGTCAAACCCATCTAAACTACCACTATTAGAAGCATTTCATATGTAGACAAAGATGTGAAGGAATACTCCTTTAAGAGCACAGATATGTCGCTTTAGCTCCTTGGTTCTGCAACTATGGTATCCAAAAGTGGAAAGAAAGAAGTCAAGCTATAAAGAGAAGTATTATCTAAAAATGGTTAAAGGTATCATATATGAAATGATGGAAACAAGGATCACCATTATTGGTTGAAATGGTTGTTATGCTCCTTGGGGACCAAGAGTCACCATTATTGGTTGTTGTGATTGTTGGGGAAAACCAAACACAAGAACACAATTATCTAAAGTAAGCAGCGGAAATAATTCCCTAAACTTGCAAGAACCTGTGAAAAGCAACAACAATAACAAATGGCAGCAACAAACACAAGGACACAGAGAATTATTTACGTGGAAAAACCCTCTCAATGTGAGAAGTAAAAACCCACGGGCTCAAGCCAGTCAATCAAGCTCCACTATAATCAAATGAGGTTACAAAAGAGTCTCAAAATACTGCACAAATTCGTGCAAACAACCAGCTAATACAACCAAGCAATAAAGCCTAACCAAAGAGAGAAAATCTCACAAAATAGGGCTGTTGTTCAAACAAGATTTCTCTCAGCCAAAACCTCCAATAGACGATCCCAGCAGTCAGAACGAAGAACTATACGTCTAGGAACTTCTTTCAAAGTTTCAGCTCAATCCAACGGTTGAATAAGGAGAAATAACGATTTCTCTGTGGCTGGTCTGTGTAGAGTCACCAAAAACAGGGATTCTGTGCGAAGACAATATCTCCAACTTCAGACCTCCAATCGACAATCCGAACGATCAGAACAAAGAGTACCGTGTTACTAACCTGCTGTAAAATTTTCAGCCTGATCCAACGGTGATCGAATCAGATATCGAAGGAATTAAGTAGCTGGTCAGGAGCTTCTTTCTTCTCTCACTTCCCCTTCTTTCTTTTTGATGTCTCTATGCAAAAAATACACACACTAGGCTGCAAAAAAAATACTTTAATCTAGACTTCTCTCACCTACTCTTCTGACTTCTCACTCCCTTCAATTAAGTGTAGAAAATGAGCTTGAAAATTTAGACTTTTTGAACACATAGTTGGGAGTCCAACCCAACAGTGATCCTAGGGGACCAAGGGATAAGGAATTGTGTAAGGAACAAATTATAGAAAACAATAATTTTTCTCTTTAAGTTTTGTACTTTAGAGGTTTTAGGATTTCTCTTAAGAAGTATAAAAGAAGAATGGAGGAACTCCAAAGGAATTTCTTCTTAAAGAGACATTCTCACAAGTGCATTTTCTAAGTTCAGAGATCTAGAGCTCAAAAACACATGGACACTGCAAAACACAAAGAACGTATTCAAATGAGGTGAACATTCCTCAGTATACTTGAATAAGGAAATAAGGCTTGAGCAAAGTTAAAAGAGCACAAACGAGAACTCATAGGTGGTATTTGGCTTGGAGGACTTTCGAATGCTCTTTACTCTAATAGGAATGTTTCCACGCACGTCTTAAAAAGGAGATAGTGGTTGTCTATGGACATAACTTACACCTCAAAATATTAATCAACATTTTACAAGAAAGAAACATGTTGAGAGATAATAATAAACTCATTTCCCTAGAAAAGCACCTTACCTTGTTCATGCGTACAAGTCAAGTGTCTATAAGTTTTTATTTTTACGTACTTTGTTTATGAACCTCACTTTATAATATTTATGGTCCCAAAACAATAAGTTATAGGATAACACTTTCACTCCTGACCACATGCTCATGCTTCCAGCCTTGCTATTACTTTTTACTTCTACCAAACTCTGGTTACTTGTAATAAGGGAGTTAAGAATGATATTAGCATAGTTAATTTAGAAAAAAGGTTAGCTTATATGTTTGATACAAGTTATTAAAAGAAAAATATATAACTATAATGTACGTACACTCAAACATAAATGTTGTTTCATAAGAGAAGTAACAAATTATCTTAGCTTTTCTATCAAATTATGTGTTCAAACTTCAAAGTTTTCATATTGTAACTTGTAAGAAGACAACCGAATATAATAGTTGTAAAATTCATCAAATACTCTAATGACACAGATAACATCGAAAGCAACTGTTATGGAAAGGAATATAGATGAAGATGGAACTGAATAATACATGTTTCATTCATGCTTAGAAAGAGTGTATAAGAGGTTATTTCTAGATAACATACTCAGTAACAGCTCAATAACAGAATAACAAACAATAGCTATCAATTTCTTAAAGTTCAGTAACATAATAACAAACAATAGATATCATTATCAAGTTCCTTTTACACCCCCTTCAAACTTATGGGTGGAGTTGGCGAAACCATAAGTTTGCTTCAGAAAAGATTGGACTGAGGATTTGGTAGTGCTTTAGTTAGTGTATCTACAACCTGAGACTCAGTAGGAAGATGAACAACAACCAACTCTCGTGACAATATTTTATCACGAACTAAGTGTAAATCCAATTCAAAATGTTTCGTACAGGAATGCACGACTGGATTAGCCGCTAATTGAACAACATCTAAATTATCATAATAAACTCGGGACAAGGTAACTGAAACATGTAACTCACAGAGTAAGTTCTGCAACCAAAGAATATCAGCAGTAATAGCAGCAAGGCCTCGATACTCAGCCTCGGTACTACTTCTAGAAACAACCACTTGTTTGCGAGAGGTCCAAGAGATAAGATTGGGACAAATATATACACAGTATCCTATAGTAGATTTGCGATCATCAGGATCTGAACCCCAATCCAAGTCACAGAAGTCCATGATGTTTAGCTGTGTGGATGGTTTGATATTTAAACCATAAGAAGACGAACCTTGTAGATATCGCAAGATACGTTTTACTGTTTTCCAATGATGCTCCTGAGGTCGATATAAATTGGCACACCTTGTTAACTGAATAAGAAATCTCAGGTCGGGTAACAGTGATATACTAAAGAGCATCAACTATAATTCTATAGTATGTAGGATCCTGTACTAAAGTAGAACTACTAGTAGAAAGTTTAAGACTAGAAACCATGGGAGTAGGTTGGAGTTTTGAGTCCAACATATTTGCTTTATGAAGCAAATCCTGTATATACTTAGACTGAGATAAGAATAAGCTGTCATAAGGATTATGCAAAACCTCAATACCAAGAAAGCAGTGTAAAGAGCCAAGATCTTTCAAAGAAAATTTGTTATTCAGACAAGTAATGAGAAAGGAGATTTCAGAAGGGGAAGAGCTAGTGATGTTAATATCATTAACATATACCAAAATATAGGTTTTGATAGTAGGTGTGATTCGCATAAAAAGAGAAGTATCACTTTTGGCAGAAAGGAAGCCCAA